AAAAACACCAATGATAGCCTTTGCTGGAGAGGTTGTGGAGAAAGGGGTACACTCATCCATTGCTGGTGGGAATGCAAACTTGTGCAACCACTCTGGAAAGCAGTGTGGAGGTTTCTCAGGAAATTTGGGATCAACCTACCCATGGACCCAGCAATACCACTCTTGGGAATATACCCAAGAGAGGCCTTATCACACAACAAACGTATATGCTCTACTATGTTTATAGCAGCATTGTTTGTAATAGCCAGAACCTGGAAACAACCTAGATGCCCTTCACACACAGTAACTCTTAGCCTTGTACATCGGCTCTGCCTCCGACATCTTTGGATATAGAATACAATCCCCGTGCCATCCCTTCTGCTGCTTCTCTCACACTCCCATCCTCTGGGCTGCTGGCAGCAGCAGCTGTGATCTAATGGTATCAGTTAGTATAAGAACTGATCTGACTTGTCCAGGGCCATCCAGGCTTTCTCAGTCTAAGCTGCAGCATTGCCAGATATTTTTTTTTTTTTTTTGCTCTTAAATCAGTTAGCAACAAACTTATGTGGTACAGTTTTCGTTAAAGCCTCTGGCCTTTAGCCTTGGCAGCACTCGGATGGGTTGGGTCATGGTAGAGCCCTATAGCCAAATTGCTGGTATAGTTGCATCTCTAAACCTTCCCCGCCTATCACTTCACCTCCGCTTCCCTCCCTAGTTTCGCTGATGCTCCTGGTAAATTCCTGGACACCAGAAGAGTTATCAGTTAATCAGTTGCTACACATGGTTCTTCCCCTGAGCCGAAGCGGATGATTAACCCCATGTGCTAACAAGCAACCTGAATGGCAGGCTTGGGGAGCAAGTTGCCTCTTCTGCTCACCCACTCTACACCAAAGAGTTGTCAGTCGTTTGCACCTTTGCTGTTGAAGGTGCTGTGTTGCTTCTGGTATTCCAAATGTGTCACCATTCTAACCTCTCTCCATCTTTACCCCTTCCACTGACCTAGCATGTGAGTGGATTTTATTGCTCTCCCCATTTTTTCCCAGAGCAATTAGAAATGGCAGGCGCCTGGTGCCGTGTAAAGGGCTTCCTTCCATGGTAG